CAGCTGACTCCAGGTACCAGCCAATTTCTTGATTCATTTCTAATCTATGCGTCCTTAGTTTAGGTCGTGCCACATTATGTTACGTATCAATTTGAACTCCGTTGTCAAACATGCCTCTCTCCTGGCCATCGTCATCGTTATAAACCGGAGGATCAGACAAAGAGGAAATCCAGACTTTTCACACAGATTTTGAGAGATTACAGTAACCTGCGTGAGATGAAGCAGAAGTCTTGCTTTTCTCCAAACTTCCTGAGCGAAGGGTTTGGTTTCAGCCTGCAGGCAGCTACTGTTTGAGAAAACTAACATTAATCCCAGTTGTAGTTTAAAAAGACAAGAAGGTTTGGCATAAGCTTGAAGATGAAAGCCAGTAGAGGTGAATTGACGGTTCGGACGAGGCTCCCAACGCCTCCAGAGTTGATGGCAGCGGCAAGACTGCAGCACTCAGCCCGTCTGAGTGCTGCAGTCTTGCGCTCCCTAAAGTGTTTGGTTGGGTTTGTTCAGGGCATCTCGTCGGTCGTTCCTACCTCTCTAGTAAACATGGAGGTTTGTTTAGGAGTCTCTCTGTTCTGTTAATCGATGGGCCGCGCTTCAAGGTTACTCACGGGTCCCTGACTGTCACCAACACGTCCTCTGTGTGTGGTTGGGGCTGGTGGCTGTCACTTGGAAATACAAAGCCCCGCTTCCTCCCCATGATTCGGTCTGCACCGGTGAGATTAATCTGGAGGGATTTGTACCTCTCGCCGTCTGCCTGTCAGGAGCGGCGCGCAGAGGCACCAAAGGATGTTGTGACGGCTGTGTTGGTGGTGTGAGCTGGATGAACGGATGCTGCCTAAGAAGATTTGGGGATGAGTGGGGAGAGAGAAAGGGCAATTATACAGGGGAGAGGGGGCAGATATGATGTGAACGTGAGTATCTGAGCAGACGGAGGGAAGTGGTTAAATTTTAATGAGGTGATTGTATTATACAGTACGGGGTCCAGACAGAGCTGCTCCCCTGTGACCTCTCATCCCCACACAGATGAATTTGTCCCTGGATGCTCATTGACTTGGCAGTAAATGGTAGCTGTTAACATATCAGCCTAACTTGGTTTAGATCATTTATTATTTTTAGAGGCAGTTTCTTACCGTTGAAGCTTTCATGACTCTTATTATTGGTAGAGATATTTCTAAATCCTGCATTTTTCCTGACAGACCGGTTTGAAACTCAAAAGGAAACAATCGAAGAAATTTATTGTGCTCCATGTAGTCTCCTTGTTTCATATTGTAAGTCCTGCTCTCTCTCACTCTCTTGCAGCCTGAATGAGCTGCAAACATTGAACGTGAACAGAACTGTTTAATTTACATTCTATAACATCCTGTTTCACCATTCGTGCTTTCACTCACTTCACTGGTGAAAACCTCACTCACAAACATATACATTTGTTTGTTTAATTTTTTTTTTCTTCACCAAACCGGTTCTGAAGCTCAACTGCTGCCTGTGTTTGCTTTAGCTCTTTGTGTTTACACTGAGGCAAAATCTGGCTCTCCGTCCCCATCGTCAAATAATAGCCTCTTTCAACGACCCAGAATATTACTTTAGTTTTTATTCTTCTTCATGTAAGACGAACCTGTAAAACCGCCAATCTTCATCATTAATAAAAAGTCTGATTTGCATCAAACTAACAGAAACTTTCTGTCTCCTTTCAGCCAGCTGCTTATTTTTTATCATCCACCATTCAGTGCTGCCTAGAGTTGCTCTGACAGGGAATGTTTTCCGCTGAATACATAAACATAATTTCAGAGTCAGTTTTCCTGTGTTTTGATGTTAGTGGACATTGTTAATAACACCTGGTGTTAATGCTATGGTATTTGCCGTCTTTCTCTGGTACCGATCACATCAGAGATCAGCTGACTGGGAAATTTCGCAGGAATACCGAGATAAAACAAGATGAATAGTGCAGCACTGCATTCCTCATTGTATTTACTGCACGAAACGCTCACAGGGACACAGTGATCCGACTCGATGTCGACTCCGGTGTCAGCAGCGGTTGGGCTCTGGAAATGCTTGAGAAGAGAAGCTTTCGTCCTGTAGACTCGGTTTAATTAGGGACCGAAATTCCAACAATTGTTACATTTTCAGCTGCTGCAGTTCTCTTCCACACTATACCGTGCCAGAACTTTTCAAGAACCTGCTCCCCTCTTTCTATCCACCAAGAAGCACTGAAGGAAATGACTCAAAAACCTCAGGAAGAGATTGAGCGTAACTTCTTCCTTATGAAATGTAAACAGCAGAGAAGGGGCATCAGATTTTAGTGATTGTAGGACTTCTCTTTTTGTCTTAAGCAAAAGACCACAAGCTATTTCTCCTTTGAATGCAAGACTTGTGTGTTTTATCTTGGTTGTATTTACAAGGAACATCCTGTTCTTTAGTCGACTTCCAGCTCCGACCCGCTTTGCTTTCACATATCCATGTGAACCGCGTCAGAGTTCACTTCAACCGAACCGAGACTTAGGGTCTTAGGCGAACCACTGATCAGGAAAAATTATGGCCATTAGCTGATTTGTAACATTCAAATAAAGCCGTAGCTCTACCACACGTCAATGTGGTTTCACCGAGTCGATGTGAATTCAACCCACGAGCGAATTGCGTGCAGTTGTTTGCTAGTGGTGCTAGACACGTAATCGTCTCTGCAGCCAGGACAGAAATCATCCTGACTCTTTGTGACTCTGCTCTTTTTCGCCTTTCTGCCTCTCAGTGTCTCAGAGTGAGACGGGGATGTGGGGGCCGGGGCCGTCCTTCTGCGTCTCCCTAATCCCAAGCCGAGGTCCTGTCACTTCCCATCTCCTCCAGGGGTCTACGGTCGCGGGACATTCGGAGCTGGCTGACTGTTGCGCACGCTTTGGCGATGACGACGATGAGTTCAGTAAATGGTTTCACACAAGAGATGCTGAGTGGCTTCCAATCGATCGACCCTCCCTCACGGCCCACTGTGGTTTTGTTAATTGGTCTCTGGCTCACTGCTGACACAGTAACCCTAATGGAGAAGAATTACTGCTGTCCCGTCACGCATTAACCTCCCTCCTCCACCCCTCTTTCCATCCGCCCTCCCTCGCTCGCTCTCAGGCCTGACCTCTGCTCCCATCCCCCCTCCCGTCGCCGTCAGCATCAGCAGGCGCGTTTCACAGCTGGGTAGACGGAGATGGCAGTGCACACACACTCCCGTCCTGTGTTCCTGTGCCTCGGGGACATAAGGTCAGGTGACGCTGATGACCGAATTAAAGCACTAAAAGGCAAACACTCTCTGAACAGCACTGCTCCCTAATTAGTTTAGCTATAACTGAGGCATGGTCTGGGTTAGGGAGGCAGTTTTAGTAGCTTTGTGCAAGGTTTGAGCTTATATGCAATATGTTGTGAAAATATTCACACTGCTTTAACTTTTTCACATTTTGTCACATTAAAACCACCAACTTCAATGTATTCTATTGGGATTTTATGTGCAAAGCAAGGTACAACTAAAGTATAGGGGAAATGAAAACTTGAATGTTGTGTTGCGCATTTTTATTATTCCCATTTTACTCTGATACCCACAGAGGTAAGCATCTCGTGTAACTAATTGCCTTCAGAAGTTGGAAGATTGGAATATTTCAGTGAATAAGTTAATCTCAGGCCTCAGAGGTTTGTTACAGAACATCAGTGAACAATGAGTTTCATAAAGACAGAGGAAAACAGCAGATGGGTCAGGGAGGAAGTCATGGAGAAGTTTAAAGAAAACTTTCCAAGTCGAGAATGAGTTAGGGTGCATTCACACCAGCCCCTTTTAGTCTGCTTTATCAAAGTCTGGTTTGATTAAAGCAGGTTTGATTGAAGGTTTGTCGACAAACCTGCCGACTGCCAAGGCGTGAACACACAATCAAACTCTGTTGCAGACCAAAAAGACCAAACTCTGGTCTGCCTGTACATCTACGTCTTGGTTCAGATGAAGTGTGTGGTCCTGTCTGATGTAATACCAAGTAATGTAATGCTCCAAAAGTAAGAATCGGACTAAAGAGCAGGGCATTCTGGGTAAACACAACCACAAAAACAAGAGAGTCTAGCACTACATGGAGAAATGGCTTGTGGTCTTTTGCCCAAGACAAAAAAGAAATCCTATAACCACTAAAATCAAATGCTTCTTCGTTTTTGTCGACATTTTGCGAAGAAGGTTTTGCTCAGCGTCTTCTTTAGAGGTTTTTGTGTCATTTCCTTCAGTGGTTCTCGGTGCAGCGCCCCTACAGGCGTGGAGGTGAACAGGTTTTTCAAAAGTTGTGGTTCATTTGACGCAGTCAAATGTAGTTTGAAAGCGAACCGCAGCAGCTAAAATGGAACAAATGTTAACATTTTTTTCCAAAATTCAACCAAGTCTACCAGACTATTAAGTATGAAAACACCACAAGAAACAAAGTGCACATCGTAACTATCAGGACAATTACCAGTCTCACAGTCGTCTTTTTTTCATATATTTTGTACTAATAGTGTATAATTATTGCATTACGTATGTGAAAGGTCGATAGTGAAGTTAATTTTCTCAAATATTTTTGTTTTATTTCCATTTGTTTTTTTTTTTCTTATTCTTCTGTTTTCTGTTGCATGAGGCTTTGATGCTTCCTGGCCAGCTCATTGCTGGTTCTCAAGGAACTTATCTGGTTAAGTAAAAATAAAAGTGTGATTTTTAGCTTCCTCTGCAGCAGCTCTATAGCCGCTCTATAGAGCACACTGTCCGCGGGGGGGAGTCGATAAAAGAGCTTATTAAAGTCAGTTTGCTTCATGGCGCATGGAAAAGTGTGTTCCCTGTACGTCATGCAGCGTGATGAGTCAGAGGAGTTTTCAGAGTAAGAGTGAGCTTGACTGAAGACTAAAACTTTGTGCTCTGCAAAAAGGCTTTTTGACTTCTTGACTGCACTTTTGTGGTTCTTTAATTCCTGTACTGTATAATTATCCGCATGTTTTTCATAAACCAACATTTTCTCTGTTTTGTTTCGCAGTGAGGGCGTCTTCAAATGTCCAGAGGATCAGCTGCCTTTAGACTATGCCAAGGTAGGACGGATACACCGGCCTGACACTAATTCACACCACAAACTCTTGAATTATTGAGCTAACAGCGTTTGCAAACTTGTTTGCATTTGTGCACATTCCTTGGAAGTCTTGGAGCAACCCTACTTTTAATATTTACACTCATAACAAGCAGCAACATGTAACAAGCAGCAACATGTATTAGATTGAAACAGTGAGGCGTCCCGTTGGTTCGAAACTCTACAAACACAGATGTAGCTTTCTGTGGCTTAGGCATGGACTGCTACGGGATTGTTGGAATAACACAACCTTGAGTAAAACATGCCGGTTTCAAAGCATTTATCCAAAAATTTAGAATGTAGAGCATAATCTTTATTTTTTTTAAACCAGAAAGTCAGCATTTATTCCTACTGTTGCTAAAACACTCAAACATTTTGAGTTAGTTTTCTCTGTATGATTTATCTTTTGTTATTTGGACTTTCATACCAATACCTGACCAACAATACAGAAGGTACCCACTAATTGTAGTAATACTAGTTTTGTTTAGGTTTTTTTTGTTGTTTTAACAATTCTGCTATTTGCTAGTTGTTTGACAGAAACAAAGTTCATAGCTTAGCAGCTTAGTTTCCACATCATGATTCTGTGATTTACATTGGACATATTGTCAAACTGCTGAATTGCTTTTTTTTTGGATATATATACATATAAAAGATGGACGAGTTGGTAGCGTCCTTTTAGCAAGTGAGAATGAACATGTGGTCATTGGATGCATTACTCTTTGAAAACTCAGTGTTAGCAAAATATTGACAACCAGAATATTAAAAACCCCCTTTAAAAGCATGTTCACAAAACAATAAGCAGTGACCGAAAGGCAGCATTGATGTTATTTTTTTTTTTCCAGTCGATGACTCCGTTTTCAGCCTACTATAGATTGGTTCAGAACATACTTAACAGAACATGACAGCGTTGTCATTTAGCGGTGCAAAATCTCAGCGGACAAAGATCCCATGTGGAGTTCCTCAAGGCTCCATTCTCGCCCCACTTTATCCAATATCTACATTCCCGCTGTCAATGTCTCTTACCATACGCTGATGACACACAAATTTATAATTCTGTGTCACTAGATATTATTTCTGTCACTGAGGACACATGTTGGTAATATCATAGATTAGACGAGCCAAAGTTTCCTCCACTAAACTCATAAAAGACAGTATTTGTTGTTTCTGTTCCCCAAAAATACAAGGTTAGCTAACCAGTTCAGTTGTTTTTGCGGTCACTTTGTAAATTTGTTCAAGTTTATGAGAAAAATCTAGCTTTTAGTTTCAAAAAAGCATAACAACGAGAATTTACGATGCTGACCTCGTCCTCTAGAATCTCATCTCCAAACAATAAACAGACGTCGCATCCATCAGCTTTATTCAGATCAAAATGTTTATGCAAGAGGGACATTTAACCGAATAAACATGCACTGCTTTACATTTTACTGTCATATGACTTAATGTGAGCACGGTATCAAATCTCTTTAGCGTTTCAGATCACTAACATAAAACAAATACGAAAGTTGTTTAGAAACAAGACAAAACTAATCCAGTTAAAATGGATGTTTGTTTTTTCCCCCCAAGAAAATTGCTATCATCTGCTCCTACGTGGACAAATACACCGTCTCAGAAGAGACGAGCAGTTATAACAAATCTAGCGCACGTGAAAGCGTGAACTCACGCGAACCCTGCAAACATCTGGTATTGCTTTACGTATCTCGTACGAAGGCATCAGGCTTTGACAGGTTCGAACTGCGTCTGGTTAGACGCTGTTATTTTAACAGCTTCACATTGTTAAAATAAAAACCTGAGGGTTTGTGTCTCTGATTTACTGTAGTGCATAACGGCAGTAAAACACTTCTTCGCTCCCAATTTATTGAGGTTGCAATTTATTTCATTACACCAGAACATTTATTAAAACCATTGCACTCAATCACTCCCTGAGCAGATTGAGAAATAAATTTCAGTTTCCCTCCAAATGTAACGTAATCAGATTGTGCTCAGGGAGGGGGGCATAAAGACTGTATTCAGTCAAGACTCTCTAACGTGTGATCTCTGCTTTTCAAAGCGTTTCAGGGACACGGAAGAATCATCTCTTTTTTTTCTGCTACAGGTTTTGACATATTTCTCAGAACAGTGTTTAGTGTTAAAACAAACATTTCAAAAGCACACAGACGGCTTATTCGAGCATCTTGAGTGGCAAGCAGTTTTTGGGAAAATATTTGATAAACTTCTCTTTCGGTTAAAAAAAACAAAAAAACAATCCGTTTCTCGCAGGAGCACTAGACTTGCATATTTGTTTGGTTGGGTTCACCCAGAATGCCCTGCGCTGCAGTGTCCCACTTTTGGAGCGGTCTCCAGTCCGCTTGGCGTTCACATATTCATTCAAACCACATCAGAGTTCACTTCAACCGAACTGAGAGCTGGGTTTGTAGACAGGCCAGAGTTCAGTTTTTGGGTTTGCAACACAGTTTGGTTACGCTTTCACTCCTTCCCAAACAAACCAGACTTTCTAGACTGTAGTTTGCTTTAATCAAACTGGACTGGTGTGAACGCATGCTTAGTGTTCTCAGGATGAAGAATTAGCTTGGGTGTCCTCAGCTATGTAACTGACACCCTGAAAACCTGAGATGTGCAAAGGCTGGGCAACACGACGCAAAGAAAAAGCGAAAGTGGAGATGTTTACATTCAGCGGTGAACCTGAACTGCTGCATGATCAGCGGGCCCCGATGCTGGGAGCGAATGAAGGCGCCTCTAATAGCAGGAACTCCCTTAAGGGGGGAGGGAGGCGCTCATGGCACACCTGTCAGACATTGTTATTTACCAAGGCGCTCCCAGGCTCCCAGTCGCCTGCAAATTACCCCCATCTTGGTGGTCTCCTGTCAGGGTTATCGTAACTCTCACTGCACTCGGTCCCTCCTCTTCAAAATAAAAAATAAAATACAAACGAACAAACACATAAGAACAAGTCATTAAACGATTGTCCTGCTGACACTGCTGCTGTAGCTACGATGAGAGCTGAAATCGCTGCTGCCGACAGAGTAAACGCCCAACTTGAACCGAAGAGCTTAACCTCTCTCTGATGAGCTGGAGACTAAATTATGAAAAGGTCATTATTGCAGCCTTCCAAGCAGATTCTAAGACTGGAACAATGAGAGGTTGTTCTTTAATTTCCCCCCCAAAAATAGGTTTATTACAGCAAAATGCTTTGTGGACAGGAGTGAAAGGCTCACATATCTGCCCTTAAACGTGACCCAACTGAGCCCAGTTATTTTAAGACATTTCCAGGTGTGTTGTGTTTTTGATTGGACGTCGCTTACTCATGTTTCAGTGCGGGTGCACGTGACTGAACAAATCACAACTCAACAGCCAGGCTACAGAGGGCCGTTGTGACATTTGTTAGGAAGTGGCTTTTCTTGTTTGACCGAATTTTTTTTTCCCCCACCGGCGTGGGGGGACGGAGGCTTAAAAGCCTCAGGACAGCGACTTGATGGAGAGGATTTCAGGGGATTTCAGTGGAACGCAGTCTCCTCCTCATTGTTCAGTGACCACAGATAAATACTTCTCTGCCTCTTTAGTGCTTATGTCTCTCTCTGAGGTCTCATAAAGTCATAAACTTCTTCATTATCACTGCAGTGGCAGGCCTGACTCACTGCTGCAGTGTAGTAAAAAAAGAAAAAAAAAACAATTATGTGAAATTCCCTCATTTCTCTGTGCAGCTTAGTGCAAGCTGTGTCGCCTTTCCAACGTTTTGGCGCAGCGAAACTTTTATTTCTGCCGACAATCTTGTGGTTTTAGTTCAGTCGGGGATGTTTAACGATGCTCGAAGAATTCTCACGTAAGCTTTTTGTTTTTTGTTAGTTTTTTTGCGCCTTTACTACCACTGTCAGGCTGCCACTGTTTCTGGTTAAACTAGACCTGGCAGTCAGGCTTGATTACGTGTCAAAGTCCAAAAACAGAGGGACTTTATGATTAATCAGGTGAATATGTAAACTTTCCTAAAAATGTAACAACTCAAGAGCTGAAAAGAATCTAAACATAAGCTCACATGTCAGGGGAAAATAATAAAAAAAAAAGTTTAACTTCTGGCTTTTGCTGATATAACTGTGGGAGCTAATTCTCAATTTTTATTTTTTACATTAAAAAAAAAAACTAATTGGTCTTGTACCCTCAAGTAAAATGTTTTGAAAGGTTAAGGAACTATATGTACATCGGTAAATATAATCATTAGGCATAACGGCAATCGGATGTCGACATCCTAAATTTTCATATCAGTGCATCTTTAGAAATGAACATTTAAAATATAATTTTCCAACCTTTCTGCTACAAATCGTCATTAGTTGCTTATCAGTCCCTCTGGTTCTTCGCGGATAGTCACGCAAAATCAACAGATCAAAAAGTCACACTTAAGTGCAGAATTTCTTCCAAATTTCCAAAGTTGCAATAGAAATTTCGTTGAATCCTGTTCAATGACAATAAATGCTATTCTATTCTATTCTAAAGTCGCACCACAAGATTAGATTTTGATTGCAAAACACGACAAAGACATTTGTGAAACTGGATTATTTTACTTTGGTGGAAAAAAACAAACAGTGTGGCTAGCATTATAAAAAGAGCAGTCTTTATGTTCATTCCTTAAAATGTACATATTTATCTTTTTTTGAAGCTTTACAACCATTTTCAAACAAAGCTTAGCATTTGCCTATCACCCCTTGTGTAGGATTAGCACAGTTAGCATAGTTAGCATAAGCTAACAAGATTTCTCTGAGGTTTTTTAATATGTGGCCAACATTTCCAGATCCAGAATATTCCATGGCAGACAGATAAACAGAGCACCTTAGCTGTGCTGTGTTAAGACTTTTTTTTTTTTTTTGAAGTCTTGCTCTCTCTTGCTCCCTTGCAGCCTGTACAATATGCAGACATATTGTTGTACATGCAGCTTCCATGTTGAAGTTTCCATCCCTTTATTCCTCAAATTTCATTTTTCACTGAGACTCAAATGATCCATCTTAACTACTTAGAATCTTCACTCATGTAATTGGCAAATACATCCTACGTTTTTCAAGCTAATGTCACATTCAGCCAGGTGGACAGAGTTTCACAGGACACACCAGACACAGATGACATCCCTCAAAATGCTACCATTGTCAGTGAACAGCAGCAGGTGTCTGTATCTGTCCGCCCTGACCTCGTGCCACGTTGCCACCCTCAGATCTACCCGGACCCGGAGCTGGAGCAGCAGATCCTGGCGCTGCCCATCCGCTGCATCCACAGCGAGGAGGGCTGCCGCTGGACCGGACAGATGAAGCAGCTGCAGGTGAGAAGACGCTCTCTTCTCTCTCTCTTTCTCTCCGTCATTCACTCGCCCGCTTCGGTGCCCAACAAATGGGGCGAGTCTGCTGAACGTGCGGCTGCTTCTCCTCCACCGCCAGGGCCACTTCTCCACCTGCGCCTTCAACGTGATCCCCTGCCCCAACCGCTGCTCCGTCAAGCTGACCCGCCGCGACCTGCCCGACCACCTGCAGCACGACTGCCCCAAGCGCAAGGTCAAGTGCGAGTTTTGCGGCAGCGAGTTCACCGGCGAGGCCTACGAGGTAAACACTGCTCTCTTGTTTCTTGTTTGTTCTTCTTTGTGGTTGTGTGAGTTTGATGGAAAAAGAAACACCTGGAGGGAGATGACTCATGGTGTCTAATGAAAGCAGTACCTGTTAAAAACAGCTGGAAGAACTTGGGCCTGTGCGTCATCGTATTAGGAAAGTATTTTCTGGTAGCACGAATGATGGAAGAGGAAACAACTTTTTAACTTTTTTTTCTTGGCAAGTGAATGGAGGGGCCTTGTACTCCTCAATAACACCTCTGTTGGTCCTGACTGCCTTCGATTTACTCTCTCTCCCTATGTACACATTTCTAAAACCACTACCTTTCACTTTCAAATAAACAACAAAAAAACAGTTAGAAATGTTACATGAAGGTTACTATCTTTCTGGTCTATCTACTCTCCTTTTCTTTGCTCCTGCCATTGTGACCTGCCTTTTTTCTTCTGTGTTTGAGTCTTTTCTCTTTTCTTTTCTTTCCTTCTTGTCTCCAGTTTTGTGGATTCCACCTTATAAGTGTAAATGTCTTCCATAAATTCACTGATTATTGTTATTATGTTACATTTTAAAATAAGCATAAAGAACTGAGACGTGTGGGAACCCTTACAGAAAGGATAACCCTGTGCATACAAGGGCAGCAATGAGACACAAAAAGTTGAAAAGTGTCAAAACTTTTATTGCCGTCTTCCGTATTGCCTCCAATGAGTTGGGTCTCACAGCAAGTGGCGATGACTTTTTCCTTTCTCAAACATTCGTCCAGCCTGTCACTCATGATAGACATAAAGTTCTTGCTAGCTCTCCTATTGGCTCTTAGCCAGCTAACTGGTGCCTAGCTAGCTACCCGTTACTGGTAGTCTCACCTGCAACAGAGGTCGGCGCTCAACTCGAAACTTTCGCTCAACAAAAAAATACCTACATATACAAGAATATGTGAGATTAAATAGTTTTGTCACGACACAATGTTAAGATCTTCATTTTAGACGTGTGAATTTGAACTTTTTATGGATGCTTGAAGTTTGGATTTGGATTTTTAATTTTTTTTTTTTTTTATCATCAATAATTTCCCTCATCACATTTGTTTCTGTTTTGTTTGTTTGCCTTTTTTGGTCAGAACCACCAGGGCGTGTGTCCTCAGGAGAGCGTTTACTGTGAGAACAAATGCGGCGCGAGGATGATGCGCCGCCTGCTGTCCCAGCACAGCATGGCCGAGTGTCCCAAACGCACACAGCCCTGCAAGTACTGCGGCAAAGAGTTCGTCTTCGACACAATCCAAGTGAGTTTCGTTTGAGTCAATGAACAAAGACAAAAAAAAGAAAAAGAAATTAGTCATTGTAAGAAAACCAACCAGCCTGTATTTTTATGCAACGGTCAGAGACGCGTTTATTTTCATGAAGGTTTTCCTGCAGCTGCTTTCTGTCTAAGGCCTGGACAGGGCAGGACAAAGACGAAGTGCAGCAGCAGCAGGATGTTTCCATTCAGGGTGTCTGTGTCCTTCTACAGCTGGATGCGGTGTGAGCCGCTGCCATTAGTGCTTTTAAGTCGAGGTCTCTTCCCCTCAGCACTTCTCTGTGATTTTCCCCTCCTCTCACATGCTGGGTCAAGACGTGCTGAAGTCACCAAACGTGGCTCGCAGTGCATAACAACTGATTTTCACAGATTATCATTACAGTGTGAAGGCTGAGACGCTTTAAAGTTGTTGAAACACTTTCTGCTCTTTGAGCGAGAAACACCAAACATTAAGTTGCGTACGATTCTTTTGTTGTTGGAACTTTCAAGCTTTGACTTCAGTGTCCATCAAAACAACAATTTAAACGTTTACCGCAATAACTTTTGGGACAATTTATCGTCCAGCACAATCACAAGCATTTCTGCTTCACTATTAGCTTTTTCAGCTAATTTAACCAAATCACTCCAATTTCTAGCATTGCAATAAAAAAGCTAATTGTAGTGTCTGTGGCATGCAAAAACATAATCAGTACTATTAAATTCATAATTTACCCAAATTCACCAGAAATACCATCTGAAGTCAGAATATAAGACCAAACCGATCTGATTTATACAAAACATGTAGTCAAATCAACGCCTCCGTAAACTTGCATTCATTTCCATGCACTTATTTTCACTCTTGTTTACAATACAGTCAAATTCAGTTTGAAGTGCCAAATTGCAAAATGTTTCCTATCTATGGAAACCCAGATGATTATATTGATTCACTGACTTTGCAGCAAACCCGGTGGGCCTGAACCTTTGTTTGTCGTCTCGTCAAAAGTGAAAAAAACAATATGTATTCATCCCGAAGACACCTGAAATAAATGGAAAGCATATCGTCTCTTTTTCATTCATTAAAACCAAAATACTGTTTCCGTTCTCTTGGACACAGAACCACCAGTATCACTGCCCTCGCTTCCCTGTCCAGTGTCCCAACCAATGCGGCACTCCCAACATCGCCCGGGAGGACCTGGCCAACCACGTCAAGGACAACTGCGGCAACGCACTCGTCCTCTGTCCTTTCAAAGACGCTGGCTGCAAACACCGGGTAAGACTGACCCGCACCCGTTCTCATTAAAATTCTCCTGACTCTGTGGGATTTTCCTTTTAACACGCCCATTGTTGTGTTAATCATTAACCAGGAACCTTTTTTAAAAAAAAAAAAAAAAAACATAATCTTTACTTTGTGGCCTTGGTTACCAGGTTCAAAGATCCAGTTTGTTGCCTAATAACAGGACAGATGCAAATAAAGGGACACATCTATCGGTGTCTTTTTTTTAAAGGTACCAAAGTTTGGAAATGTGAAAGCATCAAACGCTGTGATATCATTTTCTTTAGACTCTTGAGAGTGAAGAAAGCCTCAAATGGAAGCAAACAGAAACACATAAGCAATAATAATAAAGGTAAAATAGAGACTATATGGTAAAATGTAGAAAAATCAGATGCAGATTAGTTTTTTAAAAAGCTGGTTCAGATAAATGTGATTTCATAAATTGTGAAGGCAACCAAGACTTTTAATGATGTTTGGGTTTAGAATGACAAGTTTTCCAAACGTAACCTGATAACCTGAGAGTGTACGTCGTGTGTTGATTTAGATTCGTCGTTCCCCATTTTCCTGAGTTGGCTGCTGTTTGAAAAAACAAAGAGTTTTTAAAGACTCTTTAAATAGAGGCTCAATTTCAAGGCGTTAAATTACAAAGTCAAATTTTATGTTTGATACATATAACATTTTTATAACAACTGAAGTTAACATAGTTACTTGGTTGTGCTATAAAATGGCACCATGTGACTGGAAAGTACCTAATACTGCCCTCTTAATAAAAAAGAAACGTCTGGATAAAGTTACAAGGCAACTTAACGTAAAATATGGAAAACTTAAATTCATTATCATCAACTTCTCACATTTCATATCAACCTGACGCATTGATTGAATCAGATGAACAAAATGTTTTTCTACTGAACAAAGACTCATAAAAAAAACTCAAATATATTCAGTATAGAATTAACTGTATTTTATGAATTATTTTTCTCCCTGCAGTGCCCTAAGCTGGCTATTAGCCGCCACTTGGAAGAGACCACCAAGTCGCACCTCACCCTGATGTGTAACTTGGTCGGTCGCCAACGGCAAGAAATCCTGGAGTTGCGGCGAGAGATGGAGGAGCTGTCGGTCAGCCAAGACGGCGTCCTCATCTGGAAACTCAGCGACTACTCCCGCAAACTCCAAGAGGCCAAACTGCGGAGCAACCACGAGTTCTTCAGCCCGCCGTTCTACACGCACCGCTACGGCTACAAGCTCCAGGTGTCGGCCTTCCTGAACGGCAACGGCAGCGGCGAGGGCTCGCACCTCTCCGTCTACATCCGCGTCCTGCCGGGAGAGTACGACAACCTGCTGGAGTGGCCCTTCTCCTACAAGGTGACGTTCTCCATCCTGGACCAGAGCGACCCGTCCCTCTCCAAACCACAGCACATCACAGAGACCTTCAACCCGGACCCCAACTGGAAGAACTTCCAGAAGCCCTGCAGCAGCCGCAACTCGCTGGACGAGAGCACCCTGGGCTTCGGCTACCCCAAGTTCATCTCGCACGAGGAAATCAAGAAGAGGAACTACATCCGAGACAACTGCATCTTCATCAAGGCCTCTATAGATATTCCCCAGAAGATAATGGGTTGAGACCCAAGTGTCCGTTTTTCTGTCCATGAAGGAGGAAGATGGGTTAAAGACTGGGACTGACGCTTAACCTTGAAAACTTCTACAGGTTCCTCCCCTGATAGCCTCTCCACCGCAGAGCTTGGAACGAGTCTGGTTTGTGTGAGCCGACTTGGAGGAACTCGCATCACGAGAGGGGGGAAAATGTTTGGTCTGCAGAACCGTCACTTGCTGACGTTCCTTTTTTACGTTGTTTTTTTTCTATGCGTTTGCTGACCTTTTGATCACCCTCTGCAACTTAAAGCCTTTGAAATCAAACAGTGCCTAGAGTGTTTACCTTGAGTTGTACTTCTGTTTTTATTTCTGCAGTACCAACACATAAAGAATATGGTAGAGATATAGATATATAAAGTTGGAAGGGCATCTGTGAGCGGAAAGACGCAAATGTTCAGCACCACCCCAAAGAAGAGGGACCTAGCAGATTCAAACTCAAGTATCGTGATCCTTTAACAAACTGTCCCCCATAACAACTACCAATATGACCACAAACATACACATACTTTGAGGTGACCTCAAATATCTAGATGTTTTAATTAAATATCTTTGGCAATTCATAGCTCTCCTAAATGTGAAGTTTCTGTTTTCTGTTTGTTTAACTTATCTGTAAAACAAAATGGTTTAGTTAAGGAAACCACAGATAAAAATTGCAATCTTGAATCTAGACGCAAACTTAAAACTAAGCAACTTCCTGTTTTATTGATTTTCTGCTTATGTACCGCCACCGAACTTGGAATTTCAGGTTAACATGTCTGATCTTTAGCAGAATACTGACTCATCAAAAAGACAATAACTGAGGCTTTATAGTTTTTACTACGCCAGAAAGAAAATTCATTTGTGCTGATAATGAAATTAAAGCTGGCTTCAGAATCATTTAAATATCTTCATTAAGAACCAGAACCGGGAAAAACTTATAAAACCTCTTCTCATTTATTTATAAAGAAAACCCCATACTTATATTTCTCTAAACTTGACAAAAACACTTAAAACTAAAAATAACAAATATTTAAGATTTAACTTAAATACTTTATTGAATGACTATCACCCAACACTAGATGTGAATTTCCCTCCTGGACCTAACCCGTTAAACTATCTACACTGATTTTATGCTTTTATGCTAAGCTATGCTAACTACAAGTTATTAGCACAGTTTTGCATTGACTACATAAATTTTCATTTACCTTTTGTAACAGTAAAAAGTCATTTTACCTTTTGCTTTTCCAAAAACACTTATGCAAGACTGTTGCAATTATGCAGTTAAAGGTGATCTTTGAAGTGCTAAGCTTCGCTTAACTGCATAAAAAGTAAGAACCAGCATGGCTTTCACTGAACAGTTACCGCCCAGCAGTAAGATGTGATTCCTCCACACATACAGATGCAGCAAGTTCACCGTTTGTTCCAGATTTCAGTCATTCAAGGGTTTTGCAAGAACTGAGAAAGACTTTTATTTTCTCGAGGTGTCAAGATTTCACAGAAAGAAACGCCACAACTCTTGGGACGTCAGCCAAAACTTTCCCCCATTGAACACATCCTGTATCATTTTTCAATTTCAAAGATGATTTGTTGAGAATACTCTGCATTATTTTCCTGCGTAGCATGCATAGGCTAACGATGCTAACAGTGTTCATTAGCATAGCTTAGCGTAAATATTAAAACATCTGTCCACATGCGTCCTCTAACTGAGAAAGTCAGACTTTAGGTACTTTTCAAAAACATTTACAAAACCAAGACTACACTTAAAACAAATTCCACGAGAATGCTGAACGTGTGTGGGTTGTTACCGTAGCAGGAACTCGCTGGTGTGCAAGTTGTAAGCAGGTCACCGTGTCAGGGGCTCTGGTGTACTGAACACACACACAACCCTAACGGGCCCCATATTTACCCAGTCCTCACACTAATAAGAGATGTTGCCGCACCTTTTGTCCACTTCCTCCCAGCCATCGGAATACACCCGCATTTTAAGAGTGAAGGAAAAGCCATGTGGCCTTTTACACAGTATGTTTTCGCATGATGGTTTTAAAGGCGAGCAGGCAAACATATGCTTCATGTGTCAAAACCTCGCCCTCAAGTTTTTTTTTTGTTTTGTTTTTTTAAATGTGAGCTGTATTCTTGAAATCCTCACTTGTTGATGACTTTTTGCTATTTTTTTTAAATCCTTTTCAGTTGACGAGAACTGAAGAAGAAAACCTTTCTGATTTTGTTTTAATGAAATGTGAACCTTGGTGGCATAACCTATAAGGACAATGAACATTTGACATTAGTGTGTTGTTCAGCACACGTGGGGGACGGCGAGGCGTTCAGAGGCTCAGTGTGATGGGGGACTGTGAGCAGCACCGCACCGTTTCCCTCAACGCACCATAAGGAGCTGAGAAGACTTTTACAGTTTACTTATGATATATGTGAATACTAATGTAAAAAACAAAAAAACGCAGAAGCACATTCTGTCTTTTTATTATACATGGGGGATTTCTTAATTTCTTGTCATGAATACCAGCTGATATTTTACAGTGACACAAAAAGGCAAGAAAATAAAAAAAAAGAAGAAAAAAAAAAACACTTTTTTTTGTAAGATTCTGTATTTTTCAAAATGCTTAACTGTTTTATACAAGCTCTTTACGTTGGAGAGTCGGGATCGACTTTGGGAGTTTTCGGACCCATTCGTCTTTTGAACATTTGGATAATTCGTTTGTCTGTGTGGTTTGAGCCTGTTCTGTCTGTATTATTTCCTCTTAAAAGTATTTATTTTAAGGAGCCATCTGGAGTCTGGACTGATGGCACAAATGTTTTATTATGTCGATTGATGAGTGCTTGTCAATTTCTTATGTAAAATAAAATGCCGTATATCAGTTGTTTTACTTATTCCCACGTGTTTCCCCACAATCCATTTTCATTGCTTCATCGTGTTACGGAAACCCCAGTTGACATACAATCACCAAAGTAAAGGCGGTGTTATTGTAAAAGTAGCAAATCAATTAAAATAACTCATTTGTTTGACTTTAAGTTAGCTTACGACCAAAATACTTTGAATGATAGATGACGTAGATCAAGATTGCAGTTTAAATCTGCTCAGAATTTTATATCGTGGTGCTTTTTTTTTATCGGTGCTCCAAGAGTTCGACGACTGTTTCGTGTGCTGGAAATACAAAATGTTTAAATGGTTAGACCAGCGCATTAGCGCATTACATTTAAAGCATCAGCATACTTAGAGCTTCACTGAATTATTGATTGAATATACCACTAATGTTAATACTTAATGAAACTGAAAGCCGATAAAGCTCATCTAGCCATCTGTCCTGCTGGGACTGCTTTCTAAAAATTAAAGCAGTTGCAATATTCATCTTCTATTGACCTAAATTAATACAAAACGCTCATAGCTTTGCTGGAAAAAAAAAGTCTCAAGTTTGTGCTGTTGTCAATTTCTTTAGCTTCTATCTAGATATGTAGGTCAGGGGTCATTGTAGTTTTGCAAGTTTTTTTTATGGATTCCCCCCTCCCCCCTCCCCCCCAATGTCTCCAGTCAGAAATGTTGGGAACTGCAGCATTAGAGGAAGTGATTGCAGACAGGAGTTTGCATCAGCTCTCCATTTGGCTCTGGTGCAAGATTACAGAAGAGGAAAACGAGCTTTTAATATTGAAATCTCCCTGCGACCCCTAAAGAGGACAGTCCTGCATTTCACTTGACCCCAGTGAAGTTGGCCCCCGCCCCCACCCTCTTCAAGTCAGACAAACTTGGTGTCAAACGTTAGGGCGCCGTTTGTGCAGCAAAAATGTTCATTTGTGCCGCTTTCATTCTAAAGACATGAAGAAAAAAATGTTTCTGGAGGTCATCAGAAACTAAAATGCAGAGTGTGTTTTGGGAGGCATGGTGCCAGTTCATTCTACATAAACCTGGTTCCAAGAGCATTTCAGCAACTTTAAAATGAAATTATTCATGTTCACAGGTCAGGACTTAACAGCTTCAAATGAAATGCACAGATCCAACACAAACTGATGTTCATTGACCTTTGATGACCTCTAGAAACATTTTTCTCAATATCTTTAGAATGATAACGGCACAAATGAACATTTTTGCCGTACAAACGTTCACCGCCGATTCTATTTAATTTCATAAAAGTGTGTGTATGGAGGGGGGGTTGGTTGACCTTTGACCTTTTAAAATTCCACTAATATCTTCAAAGCCAAAGCAGCGCAAACAAAATGTTTGCTGCACCAAACGGCACAAATGTAGCACAAATGTCTGATACCAGTTTTGTCTGATCTGAAGTCGGCGGGGGGCCGACTTCACTCAGGTTTTCACTTCCTGCACTAGCGCTGGCCAAGATCCTGCAAAAGCTATAATCTCACGTCTCTTAGTGCTCATTTCATGGCTCAAAGATAAAAACATGTTTTTTTTTTAAATAAAAAAAAAAGAAGCAGGAGAAAAATGGAGCGGAGTTCTTTTTCACTTCAAGAGCCAGTCATTCAACAACGCAGAGAAAAGTTTTCAGTTTCAAATTGAAAGCTTCGCGGATTCCTGGCATGGAGCGAACAACCAGGGCGGCAGTCACATCGAAATAGTAACAGGCTAATTACATGTTAGCAGAGTTTTTCTCCCCCCAACGCTCTCCATGTGGAGCAGGCCCGTCATTTGGCCTCGCTCTCTGAAGTGACCCTCCGCTAGTAGTCAGGTAAATCATTTGCAGGTAGTCACATTCCCAAGCGCTGTGAGCGCACAAAATGTGACCTTTGGCCAAAAATACACACTGAAAGGAGAAAAGAAGGCAGCGAGGAGGAGGAGGAGATGGAGGAGAGCCCGGCCTCCTCGTGAGGCTTTCCTCGCCTCTTGAAACCCGGCACATCAAAGGGAAGCTGCGGTCAGCGAAGCGGTGCCAGGCTGTCGCTGCTCGTACTGGAAGTTTTAACAGTCGCGCCTCAGAGCCGAAGCGAACCGAACCGAACCGGGCTGGTTTATGAGCAAGGTGGCGTCCCGTGGCGGCTTTATAGAAAATCTGTGCCTGGATTAAACAGCAGAACCTCCCTGGAAGATTAACGGGATGAGTCAGAGCCGTCAGCTGGAGAACAAGACTCAGCATGTGTGTCAGCGCTGGCAGCTGGAAATGACACTTTCATGAAAAAATAAATAAATTCATTAAAAATAAATTAAATAGAATAAAAATGTCAAAATGTACATTTATTTTGAGAAAAAAAATGTCACCAGATATCGACAGTTTAATATGACGCAGATAATCTGGAAAATTATTGCTTATTTACCAAAAACAAGCAGTCAGAGCCAAGAGGAGGGTCTTAATGCTGTCAATCATTCTCATGTACTCTGCTCAATTTGCTAATGCCAGAGAAACTGTATCATTGGTGGCGATGATGAATATATTGATTCCTCAACTGTGTGATGATCGTAGATCCCGTTTTCAAAGGTTTCAGATTATTAGCTCTTCTCATTTCTATGCTTCCAGATTTCCTCCATGATCCTTCCTTTCACCACGACTGCTCCACCCAATGAGTCACTCACATTATCCCACTTATCTTTGACTCACTCCAACAGATCCAGCGGAATGAAACATAATTGACTCGCAGATCATTCATATCTCAAACCTTACAATCCCTGTTGTGGCGATGGCACACGTTTCTGTTTCCAAACTGCAGCTGCGTTATTTATCTCTTAATGCGATAATAAAGGTCTAATTAAAACCTTCCAATCAGCTGGGAAACTAGAAGCTGTGGCCCCGGGTCAAAGGTGAGTGAGATCCGCTGTGGCTGTCTGCCAGTAGCAGCATACCCGGAGGCCATTTTTATGAACAAAATGCCGTTAGACGTCAGGAAACGGCCACAAGGAACAGCGACTGTATGAGCAATATTTACAACTTTTCAAATAACTTCAACTGCGGATGGAAAACTCTGAGTCGAGGGTTGAGACCTGGAATCACCGTCTGCAAGAAGAGACCCACGTCTCACCTTCACAAACGTAAAAGGAAGACATCTATTAAGGTGGAATGTGAACCTTACGTTGTTGCCTTAGGTTTTCTACATGTTGTCTCTGTGCCTCAATAGCAGTGTGGAATACAAAATTGTTGGGTGGCAGGTTGATTTTCCTCTCCACTGTCACTGCATGCATGCTTGCTATGAGGAATTCCTCCTGTAAAGTCAACGACACGACGCAAAGCGATTGTGAGCCGTGGCTACAAGGAGCAACAAGTCAATGACTTCATGTGATCCACTGGGTTTCCTTACATAACTTTAAATGCATGTGAATGATGACTTGAACTAAATGTACTGTTTGGTAGATAGAATCAGTTGGACTCGTCGTGTTACATTCGTCACCCTGGACAGGTCTGTGTGATAAAACGTCCAATATTTTTTTATTTTTGCTTGGATCAAGAAAGCCTGTTTTATCCTTCTTATTATTCCCACCTGTTGCAGTCAAATCCACGCGGGACCATGAGCCCCTGATCCCGACAGAGTGCTTTTTATGAGACCCGTTTCTCAAAGCGAAGCATCGTCTGCGAGGGCGATTCGTCGGAGAAGATGTAAACACTGAGAGGTGCAAAAAGCAGCCAGCGACTGAGAAGAAACTGTGAAAAACACTAGCGTGTTTGCAACATCAGTCGATAGACATCTGTCGCTCGTGTCGCCGAGTCCTGTTCGCCCAAACATGAGGGTTGTAACACGAATCAACCTGCCGGACCGACGGGGCTCTTTGTTTTTATTTTGTTAAGGCTGCAAGTCAAGGATAGGAACATGGAGTAAAAAAAAACCCAACAAAAACAAGAAATAGTATGATTTTTTTTTTAGCTGCTATCATAAACTGTAATGTCTTTTTATTTAATGATGGAAAATGGATCATCTTATTTTCCAACGTAGGGTTTCAAGACCAGAGAGGACATGTTTACCCTTTATCTGGTTATGAAAAAATGGTGGATTCACACAATTTGTACTAATTTTGTACAGTGTGCTGCGATGATATGACAGAAATTTTTCACAAATCAAGATTTCACTGGGATTTTTGCAAGCGTGTGACTGGGAATTAAACTGAACATGCTCAATCGGGATGAAAGTGCGCAGATTCTGTGTCTTTGCGTGTTTCTGTGCGGATGTGACGTTTGAGATTTAGATCATCCAATGGCGGCCCAGTTCAGATTCCCACTTAGATCTCCTGGTATTTTAAAGACACGATGATAAGAAGGTTTTCTAATGCGTCCTTAACCACAATGCTCACCGACCACAATTGGTTTAATTCAGCTGTTTCCATCCTGCAATCCTGCCAGCGATAAACACACTGTTGTGTTGACAAGCCAGTGGAAACAGATCCCGCCGGCCACTAGGCCTGCATGTAATCTTAATTCCAGCCTTTAGCCCATAAGTAAAGCCTTTCTGTGGCGCCAATCGTTCAGCCCCGTAATCTAGCCGTGTGCTCAATGGCCACATGGCAGATTGTCAAGAAAGAGGGAAAGAAAGGAATGCAGACTGAAATAGAACTGTGACCCATTTATTAAAAGCTATTTTTAGCAGCCTGTTTTTATAAATAACTACTGACGAAGGTGTTTCTAATATCTACCTGTTGCAGTCAAATCCACTGCACAGTCCATTTTGTCAATCTGGCACTTAATTGTGATTTAATAATTGCATTGTTGGATCTATAATTTATGCACAATTTTTGTGATCCATGCTTCCAGGTCTTTCTTCTTCTTTGTGGTTTCGAGGCTGCGGCAGGTCGTACATCACAAGGACGGAAATCGTGAGCTGCGAATTGCTGAACCCTGCGACAGAGCCTTACAGTTTGAGCCAGAGCCGCGTACAAAGACCGAAAACATCATGCAGCCTTAAATATCTGTCTAGTCCAATCGAGGACTTA